GGGCCAGTGTAAGAGTGTGTGTGTGTTTGGGTGTGTTTGCCAGTGTGAACGTAGCTAGGAGCAGGCCTGAGTGTTAGAGACCGTGCATGTCAAAGTCCATGAAGACTTGTCCGGGTGGTCAGAGTGTCAGAGGAGGGCACTTGCAGCCTGCAGGAGCCAGGTGGGCTCTGTGTGCACGTGTGTGCTGTAGCCACTGGCGAGTTGTCGTTGGTCGCGGGGAGCTGTGACAGGGGCTGTGTGTATGGGAGCACTTGGAGCCTGACCTTGATGGGGCAGTTGTGGGTCGGCATGGAAGTTGGGGGAGCGTCTGTGACATGTGTGTGTGAGGGGCGCGTGTGCAGCCTCCGTAGCTGTGTCAGAAGGTGCGTTCTTCACTTAGTACCTGCACAGGTGCTTCTCTGGGTAGAGGGAGCCTGGCCGACCAGACTGCAGGCAGCTCGCAGAGCATCTGCTGTCCTGGCTGTTCGGGGAACACCTTGCCCCTCTGGGACTGCCTCGAGTCCCAGGCTGTCCTCCGCCTGGGCCAAGGCTTTTGTGTCCCGGTGAGCCCTCCCCCGACATTCCTTCAGGCTCTGAGGGGAAGAGGGCCTAGCCCATTATGACACCCTCCTTGAGGGAGGGGAAGATTCCTGAGACCTCCCCTACTCCCCACCTCCTCACAGGCCACTCCCTGCCCCTCCCTGGGAGAGAAGGGTGATGGTACCCATTCTGAAGTAGGACAAACTGAGAATTTATGGCTAATTTAGGAGGGGATGCTGGGTGTGGGTTTTCAGCAGTTCTCTTTGGGCCAAGGCTAGGCCTGGGGCTGGCGTCCTGGGAGGTTTCTAGCCAAAACCTAGAACCTTAGCTCATCTGACTGGTCTGGGGTGGGTGGGTGGTGAGTCCTGGGCTTTACTTGGCTTTCTCAATCCTGGTGGGTCCCCCAGGTACTGACCTGTGGCCTGGACCCACCCTCCACCCCATGTGCAGCACAACGGGGTGAGCGGAGGGCGGGGCTGCTGCCAGATCTAGTCAGACAGGTGGAGCCGCCAGGGCAGGAGTCTCAAAGAGCCAGGCTCCTGGAGAGGGAGGGTGAGAGGAGAGCGCCGGAGACGAGAGGAGAGGCTGGAGGTGAGAGCCAAGGAGGGCAGAGGAGAGCCCGAGGGGGTGACTCAGCAGGGGAGAGGACAGGAGGGACCATCCCGGGAGATGTGCATCCTGAAATGGGGCAGGAGAAGTTGAAGGGGAGGACCCCTGGAGAGAAGGAAGACCCCAGGGCTGGAGAGGTGAGGGACTGGCGAGGAAGGGAGGGGAGGTTCGTTCTGGAGGTGAGTTCCCTGTTGGTAGGAGGTAAGACTCTCTGGAAAGAGACCGGAAATTGAGAGTCCTCTTGTGGAAGAAGGGAGGGAAGGTCAGGAAGTAAAAATCTCTGGACAGGAGCAGAGCGTGAGGAGCGGAGAGGAAGGGCGGAAGAGCCCTTCTCAGGCAGGCAGGGTATATGCGGGAAGCAAATCCCGCCCCCCACCCCCGAGCGGCCTCCTCCTCACCCTAGTCCCCAGCAATTCCTTCCTCTCACTGCTCTGTCCTTTCTGCAGTGAGGTGTTGGGAGTTGTCGCGTCTGGTCTGTGTCCTGTCTGTGGGTCAGGGGTGAAATTGGGGCGTGGGGGAACACAGTCGGCCCTGTCTGACACCCATCCTCCCTACCTCGCCAGAGTCCTTAGCCAGGATGGAGGCTGTTGTGAACTTGTACCAGGAGATGATGAAGCATGCAGGTGAGATGCTGTCCTCCAACCCTTTCTCCCTCCCACCCTGGGATCCCTGGATCTAGGGCTGTCTCCTAATGGTGGAGAGTCCCTTCAAATCCCTTGACCCTTTGTGACCTGACCTCATGACTGCACACCTGGTGGGGACCCTTTGGACTCTGTGACCCTTTCTGACTCCTTTGACCCTTATTCACAGATCCCCGGATCCAGGGCTACCCTCTGATGGGGTCCCCCCTGCTAATGACCTCTATCCTCCTGACCTACGTGTACTTCGTTCTTTCACTTGGGCCTCGCATCATGGCCAATCGGAAGCCCTTCCAGCTCCGCAGCTTCATGGTTGTCTACAACTTCTCACTGGTGGCATTCTCCCTCTACATCGTCTATGAGGTGGGCCCCCAGGATGCCTAGGCTTTAATTCCTGCCAGCAGGATAAGGGGCAGGCCCTAGGGCCAGAGCATGGCATCTCCTTTCCAGAGAGGCTCAGCTCTATTTCTCCGTCTAGAGAACAGAAGAGACTTGGGGGAGGGAGGGAAGTCTGGCGGTCTAATCCACACCCCTTCATAGTTCCTGATGTCTGGCTGGCTGAGTACCTACACCTGGCGCTGCGACCCAGTGGACTTTTCCAACAACCCGGAGGCACTGAGGGTAAGTGGGGATGGAGGCCAGGTCCTTAGCAACCTGGGGATAGGAGCAGTTTGGACGTGCCCTGTGCTCATGAGCCAGTTTAGAGAGGCTCTTGGCGGTCCTAAGGCTGCCCTGACTTCTTACAGATGGTTCGAGTGGCCTGGCTCTTCCTGTTCTCCAAGTTCATTGAGCTGATGGACACGGTGAGTAGTTACATGAGATTCGAGAACTTGTGGGGAGAAAGGAGTGAGAGGCCCTGGCTCTGAAACCCCTTACCCCACTTTTCTCTCAGGTGATCTTTATTCTCCGGAAGAAAGATGGACAGGTGACCTTCCTACATGTCTTCCACCACTCAGTGCTTCCCTGGAGCTGGTGGTGGGGGATAAAGTTTGCCCCAGGTGAGTGGTGAAGACCACTGGGGGAGGAGGGACAGGCACTGGGGACCAGAGGCCCAACTCAGGTCCTGATTGTCCATGCGCAGGAGGAATGGGCTCTTTCCACGCCATGATCAACTCCTCTGTGCACGTCATCATGTACCTGTACTATGGATTGTCTGCCCTTGGCCCTGTGGCTCAGCCCTACCTTTGGTGGAAAAAGCACATGACAGCTGTCCAGCTGGTGAGGGGCCTGAGCCTGACCTACAACCGTCCCCTCAACATTCTGGTCTGGATCCTACCTTTAGCCGGCCTACTTCACCTTTGACCCCAGCCCTCCCTACTCGGCATTCTGTTTCTCTGCCCCCTTTCCCTCCGGTCCTCTCAGCTGTGCCCTTTGACCCTTGCCTTTCTGTCCTAGATCCAGTTTGTCCTGGTCTCGCTGCACATCTCCCAGTACTACTTCATGCCCAGTTGTAACTACCAGTATCCAGTCATCATCCACCTCATCTGGATGTACGGCACCATCTTCTTCTTGCTCTTCTCCAACTTCTGGTATCAGTCTTATACCAAAGGCAAGCGGCTGCCCCGTGTACTTCAGCAAAATGGAGCTCCAGGTACTGCCAAAGTCAAGGCTAACTGAGAAACGTGGCCTAGCTAGGCGCCCACCTAAGTGCCTCAGGACTGCACCTCGGGCAGCATCTGTCATTGTCCTCCCCAGCTACACCTGTGACCAGGGCTTATGTGGTCAGGACTGAGCAGGTGACAGGTCCTCTGCTCCCCACAGCTGGTACACAGGGGCCACTGCTTCCATTCCTCCTCTTCTGGCCAGCCCCAGGGACATGGCCTCGTTGCCCTCTGCCACTCCAGAGCCAGGGGCCGAAAGGGCTGGACACTTATTTCCCCCTCCCTGCCTTACACGTGGGAGAGGAGCACTCAGGGCTGGCCCCCACCAGGGTCGTGTGGCCTTTTTCCTCACACTGAAGAGGTCAGCAATAATCTGTCACTGTGGACCCAGGCTCCCTCCTTCTCCACCCCACACTGAAGTAGGAGCTTCTTGGCCAAAGGTCAGGGTGGTGGGGGCCTGGGAATACAGCCTGTGGAGGCTGCTCACTCCTTTATGTCTTCATTAAAAGTGACAGAGGAAACCGCTGAGGCTGTATGTGTACATGTGTGAATGGAGGAGGTGGGTACAAAGCCTGCCAGCCTGTCTGCAAACAGAAGGGATGGTCAAGGTGCCCACAGGATGGATGTTTCTAGCTCTCTGATCACAGTAGAGAGGAGCCCCTGGGAAGGCTGCTGGGACAGAGGTCATGCCAAGAGAAGAGGGAGACGTGACTTTATTAGAAAAGTAAAAAAAAAAAAACAAAAAAAAAAGACGCAAAAAACTGAACTGAGTTGGTCCTTAACGGATGCCTTGGTGGATGAGGCTGCTTTTGGCTGCACTGGCCTTCTCCCGCTCCCGCCGCCGGGCAGCGTCCAACTCAAAGCAGCGCCACAACCGCAGGGTCTCATCTGCTGCTGCTGATGCCACTGTAGCCCCATCTGGGCTCATGGTCAGACTAAGGACCCGGGCTGTGTGACCTGGGGCATGAGGAGGGAAAAAGTGAGAGCAGTACAAACGAAGGTAGATACCTATAGCCTTCCAATTTTGAGAGCTTGTTTATAACAGTCTGAGATAATTAACAATTCACACACTATAAAGTTCATCCTTTTAAAGTGTACAGTTCATTGGTTCCTAGTATATTCAGAGTTGTGCAACCATCACAACAGTAATTCCAGAATTTTTTCATCACTCCATAAAGAAAGTCCTCATTACCCTCTCCCCTCAGCCTCTAGCAACCATTAATCTGTTTTCTCCCTCTCTGCATTTGCCTCTTCTGGACATTTCATATAAATAGTCATACAATACGTGCCCTTTTGTTTCTGGCTTCTGTCACTTAGCACCTACCTTTCAGCTCAGCCACCTTGGCCATGGTTGGGTACTTCCAAATAACCAGCTGGTTCTGGGCAAAGCCATGGCCAGAGATGAGCTCCTTGTAGTGGGGAGACCAGAGGATGGAGCACACCTGTGGAGAGGGAATGGCATGGGCATGACGTACATAGAGCCAACACTACTCAAATCAGAACCAAGTCCACCGTGGTGTTAGCCACCCTACCAGGTGCTACGGACTCAGACTTGAATGACTGTAGTCCTTACAAAAGCCTTTTGAGAGTGTAACTGTTATTCACTTTACAGATCAGGAATCAAGCAGAAGGAAGTTCAGCGAGTTGCTTAAGATCACATGCAAGTTAAGTTAGGAGGCAGAGCCAGAATTTGAACCTGAGCCCAAGGTTAGAATGAAGGCTGCATGTGCTGGGCAGGGGCGTGGCAAGAGGAAGCTGCAGTGCTTGCAGGGAGACACACCAGCACGGGCCTCAAATATCATTCTAAAGCATTTGGATTATATACTGTAGGTGATAGGGAGCCCTTGCAGGGTTTAAAGAGGACAGAAACAGACCACCCAGACCAGTGTAGAGGACAGACTGGAAGAGATATGAAAAGACCAGTGCTGTGAGCCTCCACTGGGGAGAAGGATGAGGCCGAGGAGAGGGGACACGTGTAAATGATATTCTGAGGTAAAACTGAGACGTCTTGGTGACTAGGTGGGGAGGATGAAAGATTCTAGGTTTTTCAGATTTCTGAGTGGTGTCCCTCACAACAACATAGGAGGATGAGGAACGCATTTCAGGGAGGCAAGGAGAAGTGACAAGTCTAATTTGGGACATATTAGGGTGGTGGCACCTATAGCACATGGCGTTAGAGACAAGCTCTCTGTGGACTTTTGGAAATGTGGGTCTGGAGCTCATGAGTGAGAGATGAGTTAGAAGTTTGGAAACCATCAGGGTATAGCATCGGTGAAGCCACTGGAGGGGACGTGGTTGCCCAGAAGGCTATATAGAATTAAGAACGCATCTGGGAGTGAGAGGCTGGAATAAGGAAGACTACCTGGGAATGGGCATCCACAGCACTCAGACAGGCCCCAGAGCAGACGTTCCAGATACGAATGTGTCGATCACTTGTGCCCCCTCCAGTTGCCAGGACGTTGGGCTGCCAGGGACACCAAGCTACAGCCTAGGTGTGATAAAAAGTTGGGGTCAGCAGGTACTAGAGCTAGACACAGAGCTATAGGGCTCACAGATTAACCCAGTCCAATGCCACCATCCCATGTCCCCAGAGGTTCTGAGTGAGAGTCTACAGAGGCCCAGCCCAGCCCAGCCCCACTCTCACCTTGACAGCCCCTTGATGCTGGGTGAATGTCTGCAGAGGAACCCAGCCACCTTCTCCAGGAGCACTAGGCCACACGTTGACCAAGTTATCGTTGCCGCCACTGGCTAAATGTCGTCCATCTGGGGCCCAGCGCAGCCCACACACTTCCTGGCTGTGGCCACTCAGTGTGGCCACATGGTGTTCTGCTACCCTAACATCATGGTGGTGGATGTGGCCAGAGCGTGAGCCACTGCAGGAGGGAAGAAGGGAATCAGGTCCTATAGCAGTGCCAAAGGCCACCAGCAGGCCGGAGCTGCTTCAGTTCAGAGGTGTACAGTCCGGGGAGAGGGGGCCAAAATCATAGACTGATTTTGTAACAGACTAGCAAAAACCACTAACCTGGACAGGATATAGCTATTCCAACAGAGGGAGCCGACTCGGGCAGAATGACTGGTCATGTTTCGAAGCCGTTTTTGCTGTTGCACATCCCATAGCTACAGAGAGAGAAGACCATGAAGATCAGGACTTGGCATTAACATCCTCCTGCTGGGCAAGACCCCTGGGGGTCTTGTTCTGGGGAACAATAGAGCTGCAGCACAGGGACAAGTCTCACCTGCACCTCAGCACTGCTGGTGCCCACAGCCAGGTAGTTGCCCTCTTTGATCCAGGCCACAGAAGATATATAGTCCCCAGGCTGCTCCAACTGCAGCAGCTGCAGGATGTCACCAGAGCTAGCACTCCACAAGTACACACTGTTGTCCAAAGCCACAGCCAGTACATTCCCAGAGCTCCAATCCACAAGGTTCAGGTCTGCCAGAGGGGGAAGGGAAGAGCATGAGCTTTCTAGTTTGCCTAGTCCCTCTCTCTCCCTTTTTCTCCATCCACCGGACAGGGAGAAGGCTGCACTTACAGTAGTCATTCCGGATTTCAGGGGCATCCAGGATCCGGTCTGGCAGGGAAGGAATGTAACGGCAGGTCTTCCTGCTGGAGCTGGGCGTGGCCTTCTGGCTATAGAGTACTTTCAGTCTGTTCTGGTAACCTGTGGCAACGGAGTAGGTCTAGACACTGGGAGAACTGACACCTCCCCCTGCCCCTAACCAGGAAGGCCAGAGAAGCACCTTCCCTCCCCTCAGTCTTAGGTGGGAAGAGCCATCTCATCTATCCCGAGCCCTGGGGATGGAATGACACCTCCCTCCAAGAGGTGAAAACTTCAGGTCTTACCCTCTGGGGCATTTTGTGGTTTTCCACTGAGCCGAAGGATCTTGGCTTCCTCCACATCAAAACCGTTCAGGTTCAAAGCCCATGCTTTCTGATGTTCCTGGCACATAAGGGTGGTGGTGGGGTGGTGGTATCATCCAGATTATACAGATTGGTTTCCTGCCTTAAGGCCCCCTGGGACACATACCTTCTTGGTGGGCGTCTGACTGTCTTCGGGCTGGTTCTCCTTGCTCAGGAGGAAGCTAGCGACCTCCATCTGGGAAGCACTGCGATGGGGGATATAGCGGTCACCGCCAGGTTTGCTGGGAGTGGTCTGAATCTTGGAGCTGGATTTGCCTGGGGCAGGGAGAGGGAAGTCAGACTGTCACAACAGGCTCCCATGGGAGCAGTCGTGAAGGCTGTTCTCAGCCCTTCCCTCTTCCTGCCCGCGTCCCGCCGCACCCTACTGACCGGGAGTTCGGCCCGGGGTCCTGCCGGCGCTGTGGGATCGGTTGGCTGCCCGCATAGGCGAGGGGGCCGGCCCCGCGGCTTCCTTCGCCTTGCGCTGCCAGCGCGCAGGGGGTGCATTGGGGATGGGTGTATCCAGCTGCAGCAGCGAGTGCAGGTCACTCTCGAACACGAACTGGGCCATGGGAGTGTCTGGAGGGGGAGGGCTACCCGCTGAGCCCCGGAGGAAGAAAGGCGACCGTGTTCTGGGACGGCCGACCACACAGGGCCACCCCGGCCGCAGCCCCTCCCAGCCCGGCACCCCCGGCCGCGGCCTCACCCCCGGTTCGCTCGGCCCAGCCGCCTCTCACCGTCAGCTCAAAGCGGACTCCGATTCCAGACCGGCCTTAACAGTGCAGATTTACGCTTCTTAAACTCTCCGCTCCGAGCACTCATTGGCTCCTTCAAAACCCAACCGTCGCAACTGTCGCCCTTGCCCATTGGCCTCCACGGCACAGGGGGCGGGTCTTCCGGGGCAAGTCGTAGATATCACGGGAGTCCAGCAGTGGAGCGGGATTTGAAGGGTGGGAGAGAGGCAAAGGCAGGTCCGGCGCCACCAGGTGTCGGAAAGCGGGGCTGGGCTGGGCGGGGCGGGGCGCGTCGCGTCGCGTCGCGTCGCGTCGCGCCTGGGGGCGGGGCCTGAGCTGCGTGCATTCCCCAGTCGCTTCCATTCATTCCTCAGCCTCCCCGCACCCGCCCTTTATACTTAACTCTGCTTGTGGATCGTGTTTATGATACAAAGTGCAGGACTCGGCGTAATGACCTAAAGCACTTGAGCCTTTTTAGAGGAGGTTACAGGCAGTGGCTGGCCGGCCAGCCGGCCCGCGGGCAGGGAGGCGGGGGCAGGAGTTGATTGAGCAGCTTAGAAGCAGAAAGAAGGCGGGAGCGTTCACTGTTTAGTGCCTGCGGAAACACTGATAGGAAGGAAGTTGCTCATTTGTTTGTTTTTTAAAACTGTTTTGTTTGTTGTTGTTTTACAAACAAGGAAAATGAGGCTGAAAGGGGGGGTGAATTCCCTATGGTCAAGAAAAAATATCAGGATTCAGGATTCAGATCTGCCTATCTGGGAGATGAGATTGGACTGCCCTGTGAGGGAAACAGGGGCTCACCCCCATGGGGCTTTAGAGATGTCAGGAATTTTAGAGATCCGCTAGTCTAATCTGCACATGGTGCACCCTCCCCATCCCAGCAACATACCCATATTTTACAGGTGAAGAAACCGCGGCCCAAGAAAGGATTTGCCCGAGGTCCCATGTTGTTAGGAGTCCAGGCCTGACTCCCATTCAATCCGTGCTCTAATAATAACTTCAGTGAATTGTATGATATGCTTAGAGGTGAAGCAACAATAATAAAAATAATCATGGGTACCATTTACTGGCCATCTGCTAACTGCGGTATTTAAACAGTTTACATACATTACTGCGTTTAATCCTTAATCCCATAAAGCAGGTGCTTTATTCCCTTTTTACAAAAAAAGAAACCTGGTCAGGGAAAGGTCTGAAACTTGCCCAAAGGCATACAGGCCATAGTAATTAGTGGAGCCAAACTATCTAACGAACCTCAGCAATCTAACCATATGCTACACTGCCCCAGAGAGAGGCTAGAAAAAATCGCGTTTTCAATCATTAGCCTAAGATCAACTCTGATGATGACAGAGAAAATTTGGGGGCCCTTAACCCAAATGATATTGTTATTATTTTAAATTTTGAAGCATTCATGCTGTCTCTTTCCAATTACTTTGGAAAACAAGGAGTTAGATATCCTGGGGTTGGAAATGGGGAGTCCCTGAACCCCAGAGGACATAGAAAGGTCAGGCTGGTCAGGGCCTTAAACGTTAAGCTAAGGAATTTGGACTTTATCTGCCAGGCATTGTGGAGTCAGTGAGAGTTTCTGTGCGGGTAAGGGCCAAACAAAACATTTCTGAGGGCAGAACATAGCAAGCAATTTGCAGCTTCTGGTGTAAGGGTCACTGTAGAGGAAAAGAGCAACAGGGTAAATGAGAGTACAACTTCAGGGAATTTGAACACTTAAAAATAAAGGAATGAACGAAGCCAGTGGAGATTATAACTGACATGGACCTTGAAGTTGGAGGGATTCTAATATGATACAAAATGGTCAAATAGAGTGATGACAGAAAAGGTCAGAGTGGGCTATTGGGAAACAAATCTTCGGTGACCTTGGAGAGAAAGGGATCAGGTGAGGCGGTGCTTGGGTTCTGTTTGGAAGGGGTTGCAGAAAGAAGGGTGGGGAGAATGTGGAGGCAGCAAGCATGGGCTACTTGTATAAGAAATTTGGGAGTGAAAAAGAGGGCAGTGCATGGGAGCTGGAAGGAATGCCAGTATCAAGACGCCTATGCATCTTTGAAGGTGAAGAGCCAGAGGAGATGGAAGAGGGTAGAACAAGCACCCTGCCCAGGAAGAAAAAGGGGACAGAAAACACAGGGAGCTTTTTCAGTCTAGGGGAGAAAGACCAATTCCCCTTAGGCTGGAGGAAAGGAGAACAAGGCTTTAGAGATAGATAATTAGAGGCTGAGGAGCTGCTTGGATTGGGGAACTCCCACCTGAAGGACCTGAATGTAGGGAAGCAGAGGGCATGGAGGGAATAAAATATAGGTGATATTCAGCGGGTGGAACAGCCCAGTTGGGATAAAAATAAATATAACCCTGTAGGGACTACCCTGGTGGCGCAGTGCCTGTCGATGCAGGGGACACAGGTTCGTGCCCCAGTCCGGGAAGATCCCACATGCCACGGAGCAGCTGCGCCCGTGAGCCATGGCTGCTGAGCCTGCGCGTCCGGAGCCTGTGCTCCGCAGCGGGAGAGGCCACAACAGTGAGAGGCCCGCCTACCGCAACAACAACAAAAAAAGAAGATAACCCTGTAAGCACTGACTATTTACTACATGCATGGCATTGTGTTAACACCATTAATCCTCACACAGGGAAATAGTAGAAGAGAACGAGATCAGTTCTGAAGGGTCAAGCTAAAGATTTAGAGGTAAGGAGTGAGCAAGGAGTGAGATGAACAGGAAGGTCAATCTGGAGGCAACATACAGGTTGGATTTAGGGAGAGAGACTGGAGGCAGAGATATTAGGTAGAGGCTGTAGTAATAGCTCAGTGGAGTTGGAGAAGAGGAGGCCGAATTTAGGAAGTATAAGGGGTCAGGACATGATGGCTGAATCGGTGTAAAGGTGGGAGGTTCAGTGGTTTGGATCTCAATCCTAGTTTTGAGTCCCTAGGAGTAGAGTTGGAGCCTTGAACGTGGCTTGCGGAAGGAATTATGGAAAGTGAGTATACCGGATGTCATCCATTTGTCCCATCCAGGTCCACTCTTCATCCTCTACTCTGCCCTGTGCTCTGTGAGGCTGACTCATATGGCCTGCGTCAATGGATTTCCCTTGGACTCTGGTTTCTGTTGTATTCCACCAATGGGAGGATGTTATGGGTTAAACTGTGTCTCTCCCGCCAAAATTTATACGTTGCATACTTAAGCCCCAGTACTTCAGAGTGTGACCTTACTTGGAAATAGGGTCACTCCAGGTATAATTAGTTGAGTTGAGGTCATTTAGGTGAGCCCTAATCCAGTATGACTGGTGTCCTTGTAAAATGGAAAAGTTTGGACACAGACACACACAGGGAGAACACCTTGTGAAGATGAAAGCAGAGGTGTAAGTGATGTTTCTGCAATCCAAACACTGAAGATTGCCAGGAAAGCCCCACAAGCTAGGGGAGAGGCATGGAACAGATTCTTCCTTACAGCTCTCAGAAGCAACCAACCCCGCTGACACCTTGAATTTCTAGCCTCCAGAACTAAGAGATAATAAACGTCTGTTGTTTAAGCCACCAAGTTTGCAGTACTTTGTTAGGGCAGATGGAGGAGATCAGGAGATCAGAGAGTGAGGGTTGGGGGAAGGGGAGGGCAGACATGAGCTATTTGTTCCCCTGGCTCCATCCCCGCCATATCCCCACAGGTTGGCTGTAGCTCTCTGCCACAGCTCCTGCCAGGCGGCCCTCTCTGTAGCTACTCTCTCCCTGTCTCATAACTACTCTCTCCCGTTACCCCTCGATGCCCAGGGTGGGGTGTGGTGGGTACCAGCTCCCAGCTGTTGTTAGCCCCGGGTTACTGCACTATTCCTTGATGGTTTTCCTAAATCCTGCCTCATCTTGATAAATATGCCCTTTATTAAACTCTCATCCAGATACCCAGACTGAGTGCGTCATCTATTTCTGCCAAGACCCTGACTGACACAGTGGGTATATTTGGAGTCAGCAAAAAATACTGTTTGTTTGAGAATTTGAATGGGTCAGGGGAATCCATAATCAGAATGGCTAAGCACATTTACTGCTGCATATGAATGGCAGAGAGGATGAGAGGCATGGGGTTAAGGCGGCATTGTCCAGAAAGATTTCCTTCATTTAGAAAACATTTATTGAAGGCTGGCTACCATGCACCAAGCACTACTCCAGGTGCTGGGGGGCGGGGGTTGGAGGGAAGACAAATAAATCACAGCCCTTGCCCTCAAGGAGCTCACAATCTAGTAACAGAAGACAGACATGTAAACGGTTACTTGCATAAACCATTACAGGTGCTGTAGTAGAGGTCTGAGCTGGAGATAAGAACTTTGGAACGGTCAGCATATAGGAAAGGCAATGAGAACGGATGGGATTGGAGACTGTTAAGAATGGACTCTTGAGGGACTGCAGTAATTAAGGAGTGGAAGAGATTCCAGGATAAGATTAGGAAGGAATAATTACCATAGTTTAGACATATCAAACACTTACTATGTCCTGGTTACTGTGCTTTACTTAGATTATCTCACTAAATGCTCTTTACAACTCTATGGGGTTCTGTTATTATCCCTGTTTTATAGATGAGAAAATTAAGGCTCAAAGACTTTACTTGCTCAAGGCCATATAGCTAGCAAATGGGAAAGACAGGAATTGAACCCAGCTCTGACTCCAGAGCTTATGCTCTTAACTATTAGTATACTCAGAGAGGCCCGAGCAGAGCCAGGAGAGATGGTGATGTATGCAAGCCATGGAGGAGAGAATTTAAAGGAGAAATGAGTAGTCACCATGACAAATGACAACAGAGAGATCAAATGGATTGAGAGTTAACAAAATCTGATTGGATCTTGTGATGAGAAAAATTTGAGGTGAGTTTTGCCTGAGTAGTTTCATTAGCAGAGTGGTAGTAGGGGAATGAATTGAAGTAGGCTGAGGAGCAAATGGCAGTCAGGAAGTGGAGACTCCTTTTCAAGGAGTTTGGCATTAAAGAGGAGAGAGAAAGGAGGTGAAATTTAGAGGAGCTTAGTCAAATGAGCCTTGTCCTGGATTAATGTCAGCAGCAGTACTGAAAGATCAGTGTTATGAAGCCCAGCTAGGAGGGTAGACAACCGGGAAGGACGTGAGGTCTGAGATGGTTGTGTTGTTGGGATGGGGTGGGTAGGGAAGTTCAGAGGGAAGGACTAGAGGGTTTGGATCTGTCCAGGGTACTGGGAGCGAGGGGCCTGCCAGCAGCTGAGTGGTAAGTAGGAATGGTTGGCAATGTGAGTGGTGCAGTAGGACCCTGTCTCAGTCATGCGTGGGCACACAGACAGGGGCATGGTCCCCAGGCAAGAAGGCTGCAATCCTCGGTAGTCCATCTGGGCCTGGGAGGAACATAGGGGCAAGGGAGTCTTCTCTGAGGACCTAGGTAGAATTTCAAGGAGGCTGGGTTCCACTTCCTCACAGGCATCTGAGACTGCAGCCTTGGGCTGGGAGAGATGGGAGAGGGGGGGAAGGGGTCTGGATTAGAGCAGATCCTGTGGGAGCAGGACCTGGATGGTGTAGAAAGGAGGGTTCGGCTGGAGGTAGGGCCCAGGGATGGTATGCTGGTGGGCAAGGGCCTTGGAAAAGTTGTGTGGTAGGGCAAGGATCCAGCTCCACACAGGGCTGGTGGTGGGTGGTGGAGAGCAGGGGTGCACTCACCGGACTCAGGGCTGCAGTATCCCTAAGGTACTGGCCTAGGACCCGGTGCAGGTCTGGAACTGAGGGCCACAGGACATGCCTCAGGCTCCTTGAGGAGAAGGAAGAGAAGGAGACTGAGTTGTGGGAGTGAGTTAGGAGGGGAGCCCTGAGTGGGGGCCGTGGGGGGAGGCAGTGAGGTGGGGGAGCAAGCTTGGAGAGGTAACAGTGTAGTCAAGGCAGTAAAGTAAGGTAGTGGAGCATAGGTGAAAAGGAAACCTCTGGTGGTGGAGGGAACTCAGCAGTGTGGAGGTTCAAAAAAGGGATTTGAGTGTCCTCAAACACTCCTGCCTCAGGGCCTTTGCACTTCCTGTTCTCTCTGCCTGGAACACTTGATTTGTTCCCTCACTTCATTTAGGTTTCTGCTCAGACATCATCCTGACAGAGAGGCCTTCCCTGACTGCCCTAAAATAGAACCACCTCCCTTCCCCATCACTCTCTGTCTCCTGCTCTGCTTGTTTTTCTTCATAGCACTTGACTTATTGTGTATTTATTGGATCCTTATACATATCACATATACGAGAATGTAAACTCCATGAGAGCAAAGTTTGTCTATTTGCTCACTCCTGTAGCTCCAGGGCGTAGAACAGTGTCTGGCTCATAATAGGTTCTCAAGAAATTATTTGAATGAATGAATGGAGAGAACCAATGGGGCTTTTATTAAGTTACTGGGGAAGGCGGTCTCTCCAGGAAGAACGTGGATTAAGGTATGTTGGGGGAATCTCCAATTCCTTAGGCTCATATTTCCACATGGAGGGACTTTAGCTGAACGACATTTCAGGCCTCTTCTGTGACCTCACTCGTATCTCTGCAGGGAAGGAGGAGTGATGTATCTGGTAAATTGGGGAAAAAGGACTGAGTACGCCTGGTTCAGCAGTACCACCTCCCGCCTCTCTCCCAACTTTTTTGTTGGAGCTGGCTACTTGCATAGAGGCTGCATTGCAGTCTGCTCATACATATGAGTGGATTAAAAGCTCAAAGACATGTTCAAGGAGAGATGCAGCACAGAAGAGGGGCATCTAATCTAGCCTAGGGTCATCTAAAGAGGCCACGTGCAGGAGTTACCTTCTGAGCTGAGTCTTCAAGAATCGAGACATGTTACCAACTGAAGGACTGAGGTGGTATGGATTCTGTCCTTTATGTTTATAACTTCCAATGACATTTCTCCTCAGCCTTAGTCTCCCCACATAAACAAGTCATTCATTAATAACATTTATTTAAGTGTGTGCTATTTAGCAGGCCCTGTGCTATAGATTTAAGGATGACCAAGTAAGGCATAGGGAAGACAGATAAAGAAATGAATGCAGTAAAATGCTTCTGGTACTATGGAAGAAGTCTGTATTGGGGCATAAAGAAAGTAGCCAATAGGGGAAGGTCAGGAAAGGTTTCCTAGGAGCTGGGGAAGAAATTTATTTATAGATAAATGGGTATTAGTCATCCAGGGAGGATATTCCTGGCAGACGGGACATTATGTGCAAAGGCACTGAGAAGTAAAATCTCTTGACTTGGGGAGGAAATCACCAACAGTCTGGCAAAGGCTGATGCACAGGGTGGGAGGGTGGAAATCCTGGCAGGGCCAGATTTTGCACAGCCTTCCTTGTCATTCTAGAGTCTGGACTTTATCCTGGGGCGCTAATAATGTGACTTAAGGAGGCGGAGTGAGAAGTTCACGTGTGCAGTTTTAGAAAGATTATTCTGGTGGCTGCGTGAGGCTAGATTGGAGGGTGAAGGGGCTCCGTTTTGGTGAGTCAGGTAGTGCCTGTACCGCTAGAGAAAGAGGGCTATTGTTTGAGCGAGCTTTAGGAGGTGGAATGACCGGACCAGACTGGATAAGGGCGAGGGTGGCGCCTAAGTGTTCCGGCTTGGGTGACAGGTGGACAGTAGCATTGTTACTGAGATGAGGAGTCAGAAGGTGGGCCTGTTTGGGGTGTCCCATATAGTGGGCATGTTAGAGTGTAAGGAGGCAGTGCGACTCCCGGGGAAGACGCGCTGGGAGCAGCTGACGCCACAGGTGTGGATGTGGGATTGTCCGGAGAGCGGGTGACATAGAGTGACGCGGGGATGCTTCTTTAGAGGCCGCTGGCCTCGCCCGGACCAAGGCCCCGTCTCCCGCCTGACCGGAGCGGTACCTGTAGTGCGCAGGAAACTGCCACCTCAGCAGCAGCAGGCCCAGGAGGGCGCTGACGCCCAGCACCAGGAGCAGAGCGGTCACCAAAAAGATCCAGGCTAATGGACAAAAGCAGTCAGATCTCGGGGGGGCCACGCCTGGCAGGAGGCCCCCGCCCCGGTCCACCAGGCCCCACCCCTCGCCGCTCCGGGGCGCCGGGTAAGTCGGCTCAGCCGCGGCCCCGCCCCTCGCTGCGCCGGCGACCCTCCGCTCGCGCAGCCGCCGACAGCCTTTGCTCTGGCTCGGCCCTCACCCGTCTCGGAGGCGGTTTCCACCCTCACTGGGTCGGACCAGGGGCTCCAGGGCCCGTGGAAGGTGGGGCCGTGGAGCCTGGCGCGCAGCTGTACGCGGTAGCGGGAGCGCGGGCGCAGCTCTAAGGTCTCTCCCTGGGCCCCGAGAGGCGGCTCCAGCACCTGCGCAGAGAAGCGGGCGGGTGGTCAGGCTCCCGGTCCGGGTGGGCCGGCGTCGGGGCCTCTAGAACTCGGCATCTGTTTGACCGAAATCCTACCGCGTTGAGTCCCCGGGGATTTCCCCCAGAGAGCCTCGCTGTTAGAAAACGCTCATCCCGGCGGAAGCTGGCTAGAGAGAACACCAGGACAGAGAGCCTCGCCCTGCCTGCGGCCTCGCCCTGCCTGGCGCGGTACACCCCCATCACACAGACTCATCTACACAGAGTACTACTCATCCTGACACATATACATACGATAAACCGACAGAGAGCTGGTACACACACAGTGACCAGGCACGCACCAGACCAGGTCGGCCGATGGAAACCCCGGACACGCTCAGATACTCGGAGCCACGTAGACCAGGCCACAAATAACATCCTCTGAGTAGAGGATGCCAGCACTGTGCTAGGTGCTGGGGGTACGAGGAGAGATTCCAAGCACAGGGAACAAGAATCGTGTGTACAAGCAGGGAGACGTTATTAACTTGATCAGTTAGCAAACATTTATGAAGAGTAAGACACCCAAACAAGTAAATAGTTACAAGAAATAATTAGTGCAATAATAATGATATAAGTAAGGTACCACGGGAGCACCAAGAAGAGTGTAATGCTGCCTGAGTTGCTCGTTTGGAGGTTACAGAGTGCTCTGTGTACTAAGAGCGTGCATGGGCCGGCTGGATGGTCAAAGGTGAGGTTAAGCCAGTGGTAGTAGGGACATGAGACCTATTAGTACAATAAACTCAACTCATTTGTTGATAAATCGAGGGAAGGGAAAAGGGAGACGAGTCAAAGATAATTCCAGACTCGGGTAACTGGGTAAGCGTCGGTGCCACTGTCAGAGACAAGGAACAGGAGAGGTAAGTCTGAGGGAGAAATGCTGTATGGTTCTATTTTATTAGTTCAGCAACAGTCAGAAATTATGAGTGGTAATGTCAGAGTAGTGGTTTCCTTGGAGGGTGTGCGTATGTGACCTGCGGGCATGAGACACTTCTGGGGTGCTAGAAGTAATCTCTGTCTTGATCTGGGTAATGGTTACATGGCTGTATACACATGTACAAATTAATCAGTGGTATATTTAAGATTTGTGTTACTTTATATAACTTATACTTCATTAAAAAAGTAAAATAAGTTTGGGGAAGAAGATGAGTTCAGTTTTGGAGATACTGAGTCTGAAATGCCCTGGGGGCTTTTAGATAGAGCTGTCTGGTAAGAAGTTGTATATACATGTGGTGAATGAGAATAAAAGTAAAGAAAGAAACTAATATTTAATGTATATTGAGCACCTTCTATCTGCCAGGCAGTATGCTAAATGTTTATATATTTAACTTTTACTGTAACTCTGGAAAGTACATAGCTTTATCCCCATTTCACCAATGAGGAAACTGAGACTTCAAAAATTTAAGTAATTCACCTATGGTATAGATGTTCCTTTTCATATGGGTGTTGGAATGGTAAGTTTGGGATGGTTAACGTATAGTCATTGAAACCACAGAGTTGAAGCACTCACTTAGGGGGAGCATATATATTTATCTAGAGGAGAAAAGAGTCTAGGATGGGACTGTTGGAAGCACAGCCTATTAAGGAAGTGTGGAAAGGAGGAGCCAGGAAAAGAGCGAGGAGGTTCAGTCAGAGAGGTGGTACGAGAATCAGGAGAGACTGCTATCCCAAAAGAAAAGGAAGGAGAAAATTTTAAATAGGAGTAGTCAGCATGTCAGATGCCAAAGAGAGAATCAGATAAAACATAGATAAACAAGCTCATACATGAATACACAGACACCTTCACTCCTGATAACAGATACAGTGAAACTCAGGGATACCCTGATTATGAGATCTGGGGGCATTTGTTCCTTGACTGTACCTTCCAGTCCTGATGGCCTTCTCCTGTGTATCGGAGCTGATAGCAGGTCTCTTGTGCTGCCCAGGGTGATGGATGCTGCCATTCCAGTTCCAGCTGCCCGCTGGAGACCTCCCTCCAGTGTAAGTTTGGAGTGGGAATGAGCACTACAGGGACGTCAGCAGGGAATGGCCTAAGCCCTTCTGTGCATGAGACATCATGTCACCAGGGCCACGGGTCAGAAGTATCAGAGTTGGTGATCCTGGGCATGGGGTCAGATAATGGTAGAGGTGGGAACTATGTGGGAGGAGAAGGGGAGAAAGTTCTTACCAGCCTGATGGATCCAGAAAGGGGAGCCCAGGTAGCTGTGAATGGCACCCTGGGCTGTGGTCACCTCCACAAGGATGTGAATAACACTGTCATTTCGTGACTTGAAGTGGCAGCGGGAGAACTGGGAGGGCTGTGATCCTGGATTTTTCTCCTGCTCTTCACACTTCTCCCAGACGGGGTCCCTACGAATCAGTCCCGTAGAGTCATTGAATCAGGCTTGCCTCAGAGACCAGTCCTCATATCCCCCAACCCACAGGGGACTGGATTATAATCTAACTTGTTCTTTGGATGGGCCTACAGGGCTTTCTCTCCCGTGTCATAATGTTTGGTTTTCTGAGGTTTGTTTTGGTGTCCAGCCTCTTCTTAAGAAAAGAGCTAGATGAGATAGGAAAATAGCATGGGCTGTAGAGTTCAGGTCTTGGCTTATTGGTGTATAACTCTGGGCAAATTACTTGATTTATCTCTGCCTCAGTTTCCTCATTTGTGTAATGGGTTAATAATGCCTACTTTGAATGGTATTATTTCAGAGATTAAAGAGCTTTCATCTTTCTGGAGGAAAACATGTTTTTAACCTGTTCTCATTAGGCGGCCCTCTTAGTCACCTCTAAATGTTATTTTACTAATAGATTATTACGACAGCCTCCTAACTGGCTTTTCTGCCTCCATTTCTACCACTCCCTTCAATTTACTCTCCACACAGCAACCAGATCCAAAATGTTGATCTGATAATGTCCAGAATATCTGACAAATCTGTCCATTTATTTTGATCTTCACCCCTGCTGCATTAGATGAAACCATTATCCGTTGCCTGGATTAAGGCAAATTTCTAACTGGTGATCCTGCTTCCACTCTTACTTCTTTTTAATTGCACAAAGAAACATCTTTTCGAAATGTAAATCATATCATGTCACTCTTTTGCTTAAAATCCTTCAATGGCTCCCCATCCCCCTTGGAATAAAATCCAAACTCCATACCAGAGCCTATAGGACTCCATACAGTTGAGTTCCTCCCTCCCTCCCCATTCTCATCTCCTACAGTTCTCACACCAGTTTACCACCCTTCATGCACACAGGCCTTCTCTCTGTGCAGCAGATATACCAGATGAACTGTCTTTGCAGCTCACCTTGCCCTGGTTGCCCTGCCTCTAGATCTCACGTGACTCACTTCTTCTTGCCACTTGGGTCTCAGCTCACCTGTCACCTCCTTGGCAAGGCTTTCTCCGACCACTCAGGTGAAATTAGCACCCCTCCCCCACCCTCCCACTTAGTCTCTATCATATAACCTTGTTCCTTTATTTCTTTACTTGTTTCTCACCCCCTCTTCCCTTCTCCTGACTAAAATGGAAGCCCCAACAGTGCCGAAAGCTGTTCTGTTTTGTCACTCTATCCCCAGTGCCTGGAACATAGTCGCCTTCGATAATTGTTTATTGAACAAATAAATCCTGTCTCCTTCCTGATTATAACCCCTAAATGACTAGCTATTACAAAAATTATTTATCATTTTATATATTTTTATGTTTACTAATTTATTCAACAAATAATTGATACTGTGTGCCAGGCACTGTGATAGGCCCTATGAATACACAGAGGAATAATTTTCAAGGATGTGTCATTTCAATGGGAAAGGTAGAAAAACAAACAGATGATATTTTTCTGTGATGTGCACGGGCTGGCTTGGGAATATCAAGGAGGATCATCTAACCCAGATGGGGAGGGTCAGAGGATAGTTCCTGTGCAAGGCAGTGCTGTGCAAGGCAGGACTGAGTCCTGGACTCTAAACAGGACAGGCAGAAGGGACAAACAGACATCCCAGGCACATGCTTGTGCACAGATAAGAGATGGTACTCTGGGGGAAATTCTAAGTGGTGCAGAATGCTTTTAGCATAGAGGGTCTGGTGGGGAGTGGTAAATGTGAGCAGACCAAGGTCATGGATGGCCTTATTGCCTTTCTTAGGAGCTTAAACTTAATCTTGCAGTAATGATGGAGACATTTAAAGATTTTAAACAGGAATTGTCATCATTAGCTTTGTACTTTAGGAAAGTCACTCTAACTGCAGTTTGTAAGAGAGGACTTGTGAGGGTGCAGTAGAAGCAGAGAAATTTATTAGGACAATGTTATGGTATTTTACATGCAAAGTTATGAGGATCTGAAAGTAGGGTTGTGGTAGTTGGGGTAGAGGGAAATAGATGGATTCAAGGGATACTGTACAGGTAGAAATGACAAGCGTTTCTGATTGGATATGGAGGGTGTAGAAATGATAGAAGTTCAGGGTGGAAAACTGATTTGATAGCAGGATGGACAAGAAGAGGAGGAGCAGGTTTTGGTAGGGAATATGTGAATTCGGTTTTGCCACCTTTTGATCCATTCATGGCCCCTCTATACTATGGAAATCTGTGCAGTTATTAAAAAGAATGAGTTACATCTTTTTGTAATGATCTCCAAGACATATTTTTAAGTAAAAAAGTAAGTTACTAAATCATACATATAATGTGATCCAATTTATATTGAAAATTGAATATTGTGTATAGACATGTAAATGCATATAAAATCTGGAAGAATACATTAAAACTGTTAATAGTGTTTTTTTTCATTATTCATTCATTCAACAGTTTTTTTTTTACTGAGCATCTACTGTATTCCAGTCACCATGTGAGTTGAGAACATATTGGTGAGTAAAAGCAGACACTGACTTTGCCCTCATGGATCATGTATAGTCAAGATCAGCCTTTCTCAACTGGAGCTCTGAGACAGAATTTTGTCATCAATCAAATAACCATGGGACTTCCCTGATGGTGCAGTGGTTAAGAATCTGCCTGCCAATGCAGGGGACACGTGTTCAATCCCTGGTCCAGGAAGATCCCACATGCAGCAGAGTAACTAAGACCACGAGCCACAACTACTGAGCCCACGTGCTGCAACTACTGAAGCCCGCGCGCCTAGAGCCCATGCTCTGCAACAAGAGAAGCCACTGCAATGAGAAGCCCTCGTACTGCAACAAAGAGTAGCCCCCACTCACCGCAACTAGAGAAAGCCTGCGCACAGCAACGAAGACCCAACGCAGCCAAAAGAAAAAAACTATGTGAGGTATAAATGTAAAATTGTAGCTATTTTAAGTATTTAAGAAGGAGAGGTACGTGGTACAACAAGGATGTATAATAGTGCCATTGGACCTAAGGAGGAAGGTCAGGGGAGGGCTCCCTGAGGAGGTGACATTTGAGTTGAGATCTGAAGGATAAATAAAGGTTAAGTAAAGATTGGAGAGTTGGGTAAACAGCATGTGCAAAGATCCAGAGGCAGGAGGGAACATGGCAGGTAGGGAGGGAACCAAAATAGGCCAGTACTGGAGCACAGAGCACAAAAGGCAGCATAGTATAAGATGAAACTGAAGGCATTGATAGGGGCTGAGCCTTTTAGAACTTTATACGGTCACAGTAGTGTTCTTTTCTTTGTCCTAAGATCAATGGAAGCTATGGACCTTGGAAGAGTTTTAAGCAGAGGATGTTGTATTTATTTTTGCACTTTTCTTTCTTTCTTTCTTTTTAAAGATTTTTTTTTTTGATGTGGGCCGTTTTTAAAGTCTTTATTGAATTTGTTACAATACTGCTTCTGTTTTATGTTTTGGTTCTTTTGGCCGCAAGGCACGTGGGATCTTAGCTCCCCGACCAGGGATCGAACCTGCACCCCCTACACTGGAAGGCGAACTCTTAACCACTGGACCTCCAGGGCAGTCCCTATTTATTGCACTTTTAAAAACTCACTCCAGCTCCTGTGTGGAGAATGTTTTGGAGGATCCAAGAAGTGATCAGTTAATAAGACTTCTCAGTAGCCTAAGTGAGAGATGATGATGGCTTGTACGAGGATGATGGCGGTGAAGAAGAAAAGTGGACAGATTCTAGAGATGTTTAACAGGTAAAATCAGTAAGACTTGGTTATATACTCGATATGAAGGAAGTGACAGATCAGTGAGGTGTTTGATGGAAATTCTTGTAGGCCAGGCGAAGTTTTGATTGGATCTAGGGAAAGGCCATGCAAAGTTTAACAAAAGTCAGTCTGTCAGCAGCACGGGGGGTAAATCGGAGGTAGATGAGAATGTAGGCTGTTGGAATGGTCCAGGTGACATGATTAAAGCTGCATGAAACCAAGGCATTGCCAGCGAGTATGAAGAGAGGTTGAAAAGATACAATACCCATTGGAGGATGAGAGCATGGAGGCTGTTTGGTTTGGCGGACAAGGGAGGGGAGCGAAGAGGACCAAGATAATCTGTCCCTTCTTTCTGCAAGGTTGTGCTTCTCTCCCATGACATCAAGCTCAGTCAGCAGGTCAGTTCTCACCTGTCTCTGGGGCAGCACCGTGCCCTGCTGTGGTGGAAGAAGCCTTGGGAGCTAGCATGGTCCTGTTGCTGCCACTGACAGGTAACATTCTTCAGGTCCAAGGTAAAGCATTGCAGTCCAATTTCCACTGGGGTCAGAGAAGGAAGTCCCATCAGAGCCCACGTGCTCCTACTCTATAGGGTATCCAGATCATCTTTACACACGTAACTTGGAACATTTACTCCTATTCTGTCTTCTCTCCCTGAACATATAGCTCATTCTGTCCAGTGGCAAGTTTGAGGTCATCAGGAAGGGCCATGGTTTGCAGAGCTTCCATATCCAGCCCAGACCTCTCTAGAGATCTTTTCTATCTCCTCCCCATCCCCCCATTCCTTTGTTGACTCACCTGCATCCCCAGGCAGGTCCACGGTCACAGGGAGGGACCAAGATCCCCAGGAGCCACGGAGGGAGACCCCATCAGGTTGGCTGCGTAGCTGGAGCCAGTAGGAGTTACCAGGCTGGAGCCCTGAGATGAGGCAGCTTCCACCCTTCACTGTCAGAGATGGAGCCTTGGGAGAAGAATCCCAGCCTCAGAATCTAGGTCTGCCTCTCATCCAAGAGAGCCTCCACCTCTTATATTTGAAGCCCCACAACATGCCTGTGGAGAGACACTCAGTTCTTCACTGGATAGATATGCACACAGACTGGGAGCCAGGTCAGTGGGTTTCAGGTGGAGTTCAGGGCTTTTTAGGGAAATCCCCATTAACTTGGAGGCCTGAAGCTCTCAGTTTTGTTGGTATGAATGACCCAAAGTGGGAGATCCCTAAATAGACATGGCTCCTAATCAGAGCCTATACTAACTCTCTAAGGACCAACCCAGTCTGGAATCCCCAAAGTATGGCCTATCCTTTCTTGGGGGCAAAATTGTGGGTAGGAGATCAGGAGGTGGAGCAGAAGGAGGCCAGGATACTTCTCTAGTTGTGGGGGTCTGCTCTGGTACATCCTGTTGGGGCATCATGGGCTGAGCACATGGAGACTGGTCCGGAGCTGGGGCTAGGTTTGGTCTCCGCAGAGCTGGGCAGCAGGTTTCTGTGGACAGCAGCAGTGTGACTGTGGGACCAGCGGAGTTCCTTGGATCCTTAGGGCCATAGCGGAGTTCATGCCTCAGAAATTCACTGATTTCGGGAGCTGGGACCTCCCAGCTGATCTGAAGTTCCCCTGGCTGGCTCCCTCCCATGGCCTTGATGAGGCTGGGGGGACCTGGCAGGCCTGAAGGTGAGACAGGGCATGTGAGAACTCTTTGGGGGCCACAGTCTACAGCTCAACCCATGGACTGTGGAGAGGGGATACTGGAGGCTGGATTGAGGGCAGCCCCTGGGGCAGGGCAGGAAGGCTCCTTATCCTGTTCTGTCCTCAGAAGAACAGTGACCTCACTGCGGGTTTGTTAGGCTCAGTGCTCCTCAAGAGCAGGGATCTCTCTTCATCTGTGCATCCTTTTCACCTAGCACAGTGCCTGGCACATGGTAGGTATTCTGTAACTGATGAATGAGTGAGTCAATGAATAGGTTAATGATGGGAAAGTCGGAGTGTCTCTGGTGTGAAATGAAGTCTGGCTCTGGATGCTGAGGCTAAGAGGAATGAGAAGGGGGTCTTGAGGTGCCTCTGGGGGTCTGGTAGTGGGGGGACATCCACATCGTCTTGAAAGAGCACAGCTCAGTCTGATTCTAGGAGCTGGCCTGAGGGCAGCAAACAGGGGGGCCAGGATGACAGGAGGATGGTCCGTACCCACACTATCCACAGAGAGCACCCGCTGGGTCACATTCTGGTTCAGAAACACGTTCTTCACCCAGAGGTGCAGTTGAGAGAAGAGGCGAACTTCATCCTGGGCTGGAAACTGGCACACGTACCGGGTTCCAAAGGGCAGCACACGCTGGGAACTCAGGGGGCAGGCACGGGGCTTCTCCCTGTGGGCACAGGAGAAGTCCATCCTACCTACACGGCCGCCTGTTCAGCCCTGAGGACCCAGGTCTGGGCCCAAACCCAACTTCTATTTCCAATACTGCCATTTTTCTTCTCAGTGCCTGGGTGGGATCAGGGGTTATGTAGGGGGTGTGAGCTGGGTATATCCAAAGCACATCTGTTCATTAAGTGGCCTCTTAGGGCATGTACTTGGAGTAGTCCTCTGATAGGGCCAAAGGCAGGGAAGCTACTGGAATGGGGCTCAGCTGTGGTATGTACAGGACAGATGCAGGGGAGTGGTACATACATGGTACATATATATGATATATATGATGCAGCACATACCCTGCGTAGGCATACAGCAGCTGATATATTTCACTGGCCGCTGCTTCCTCCTCATCCCAGAAGCAAGTGAGGTCCTCAAATGTTCGGGAGAAACAGTTCAGGGACTCTGAGTCCGAGGCCAGCAAGGAGGCATCTGAGGAATAGCTGGTGAGTTGGGCTCTGGGTCCTCCCTGGTGTGTTTGTGGGCAAGAGTCGGGGACCAATGGGAGCCCCCTACTTTGCACATCCCCCTCCCAGGGCTCCCTCTTCCTGGGTATAGGTGATCTCCACCCTCCACATACCTCACCTTGGCTGGTGACTTGTGCCAGGTTTTGGGGGGCCGGGAGGAGGCAGGAGATGACCACCAAGAGGGCCCAGGAGGGCATCTTCTCCGGCACTGTGTGCCTGCCTTAGCCCATCCTCCCTGCAGGAAGCCGGGCCCCAATCCCCTCCCCGGCCAGCCCCTCAGGTTCCTGTCAGATACAGCCCCACGTCCTGTCCCTGTCCCTGCCCCTGTGGGGCCCATCCAGACCACACTGGGGCCGGGGGCCAGGGGAGGGGGCGTGGGAGTGGGCAGGAGGGTAGGAGGAATTTGAAAGAGAGGATACAGACCTTTGGTGGGAGGGAGATGGGGGGGTTACATTTTTTTGACCATGTACCAAAAGCAGAGTAAGCCTCTATGTGTGTCCATGTTCACTGCTGTGGAGGGTGTATTAGCATGGAGAGCAACATTTACTGAGTGCTGCTTACAGTGCTGCCATGTGTTAAGCACTTTATATCTACTGACTCAGCTAATCCTCACAATAGTCTTATTATTTCCATTAGAGTGATGAGGAAACTGAGATGCAAATAAAGACTTGCCTAAGATGACACACCTCCTAAGAGGTAAAACTCAGGACATCAAGCTTTAGAACCCAAGTGCTTAACAGCCATACCAGTGCCGCTGGAAGGTGTAATTTGCCAAGAAATGACTGTCTGCCTTGCAACTGTGACAAAATGGTGGTTATTTCCACTTTAATAGGTTCTGTCACTTTGTGCACAAATAAACACATTGTCCTTGGAACTACACAACACCTTCCATTGTGGGAACCCTCCACAGCTGCCTTTCATCCTTTGCTACTCAAAGTGTGGTCCATGGATCAGCAGCAAGAGCATTCCCTGGGAGTGTCTTACAAATGCAGACTCTTGGGCCCCGCCCCAGACCTTCTAAAACAGAATCTGCACTCTCTCCAAATTCCCAGATGATGCGAATACATATTAAAGCTTGAGAAGCTCTGGTCTTCAGTACTTTTATCAGGTTGGCTCAGAATCAAGGGATGGTTGGTCTCAGTCCTCCAGCTTGAGCTCATCTTCACATTAGTAGCGGAAGAGTGGGTGTGATCCCTTCTCTGTAGCCCAGGCCCCCTCCTGGGACTGCTCTGACTGGTAGCTTTTATGCCAATTCTCAGGAGCTTTGACTCTTGCAGGGCATAGGGCCAGTGTAGACCACATTAACTCACGCATTTAGCCCCTCTGGCTTCAGCTGGGGCCCCCCCTTCCTGGCTCTACAGAGTTAGTGCCCTCAATATCACTTTTCTCTCTTCCTCCTGAATTAATGTTATTAACAGAGAATTGTGGGAAGGGGTAGGAGGAGGGACATGGAAACCTACAGCTCCCCTGTGAAGTCTTAGCTTCTCTCACACCATTTCTCTGCAAGAAGTCCCTGAGGCTAGGTTTGTCCCAATTCCTGTTCAGTTCTCAAGTTCCAAGGACCAGCTTCCTTTGCCCAATGGGGGTGACTTTGGATGCCTCTCCCAGACCCCAATCAAGGGCCACCCAACCTCTGCCAGGTCAAGTGAGAGGGGAAACAACTCTAATGTTCATGCAGTCCCATGGCTTTGATGCTGTGTATGTGTTGATGGCTTCAAAATATCTCTAGCTGAGACTCCCCCTCCTGGGGTCCAGATTTGGATCACCGACTGCCTACTTGGCATCTCTGCTTATGTGTCTAATGGGCATCTTATACTTAACGATGGCCAAAATAAAACTCTTGATTCTGGTTCCCACCCCTAAACCTGTTTTGTTTCCTCTAGTCTTACCCACACTGTAAGTGGCACCACCATCTACTCAGTTGATCAAACCAAAAACCTCAGTGCTCCTTGATTCCTGTCTTCCTCTTACCCTACATTCAATTCATTAGCAAGTCCTGTCAGATCGTCTTTCAAAACGCACCCTGAACTTGAACCACCTTCACTGCTACCATCCTAGTCCGTCCAAGTCTGGATCACTGAGTAACTTCCTAACTAACTCCACTCTTAACCCCTCCGGCAGATCCTCCACAGAACGGAGTGAGATGTTTAAGATGCAAATCAGATTTCTTCACCCCCCTGCTTAAAACCCCTAACGGTTTCCTACTGCACTTAGAATAAAATCCAAACACCTCCTAGAGGCACACAAGGTCCTGCCTGATCCGGCCCCTGCCTACTTAGATCCCATCTCCACCAGCCACAATAACCTCACTGTGTCTCTCATCTTAATCCTTATCATGCTCAGCCTTTCTGCGGTGCTGATACTCTCCTTCCTTGTGTTCTGCAATGTGTCACCTTCTCCCGGTTTCCTCCTACTTCTGTAACGTTCCCTCCCAGTTTCTTTCTCTCTTTGCTCTTTCTCTTAAATGTTGGTGTTCCCCAGATGTCCTTGTTTCCCCCTTCATATTCCCCGCGTGGTCTCATGGCTTCAATTCCATCTATGTACCAGTAACTCTCAAGGTTTTATCACTCTTTTGAACTTCAAGTTCTCACTTACTTATTAGACATCTTGAGTTGTTGCTCCATGGGCACTTGAAGCTCACCGTGTCCCAAACAGAGCTATTCCTACCTTCCATGCATCCTATCGGATCTTCCCTTCCTATGTTTGCATCTCACCATAGGCGACCTGGGCATGTAAGCTTGGAACCTGAACGTTACCCTCAAATTTTCATTCTCCCTCCACGCCTGCATCCAGGTCTTACCAAGTCCTATGACTTTACAGGGAGGCAGCATAATAGTGTTTAGGGGTGCAGAGCCCACAAGACAAGGGGCTTGTTTACAACCATCAGAGAGTTGAGTTGGGGCCTTTCTGCTTCTGCGTGGAAGGACGACCAACTCCCTGTCCCTGTCATTTTGCCATTTTTTTCTGCTTCCGCACAGCTGGAAAGAGATGCCTTCCCCAATCCTTTGCTTTTTTAGGATATCAAACAGAGACTGGAATAGCCCTAGGGGAAAGGAGATCACTTAGATCTGCTACTCTCTGGTCAGGGGCCAGTGGGTCCAGCCCAGGTCAGCAGGCCTAGGCTTTTCTGTTGGGATACAAGGCCAAAGCCCTGGCGTATAAAAGTCTGTATTTGATCTCTGTGCAGCCGCTGCTGAGAGAACTCAAGGGGTTGCTGGGTGCGGACTGGCTCAGGCAGTAGTGTGCTGTTGGACTGCTCTCTGGGGCTGGGGGATGGGAGCCCATTGGGTAGCATTTGCTGCTCTTTGTGGTATAAATACTCCCACATGGCCAATTTCAAGCTACTAATGTGATACCCCTGAACAGTGAGTGGGAAGAGAATTGGGCTCTCAGGGGCCCATGCCTGTGCCCTTGCCCTCTCCCTCCCAATTTTCCCAGATTTCCCAACATCTGTCATTTTCTTCCAGTCAGAAAGCCCGGGAGAGATAGCTCTGGGCACTTGGTTTCTCCATCTCCCCGTCTCTTTCCCAGCGTTGCCAAGCTTCTCTCCAGAACCATTGTTCCATTGACGCCTGGAGCAGTGTGTCAGAGCACTGTGGTTTCCCCACACCTTTTTCAGTGTTATGTTTGCTATTCCCATAGTTGACAAATTGTCTCTCCTTATTCAGTACTTTTTCTGAAGCTCAAATTTGCTTTTATTCTTTCCCTGCTTAAAATCATTTTGTGATCCTTTGGACCAAGGCTCATCTCTCGATGCTAGAACTAAAGTCCTTAAACCTCTCATCTTCCTGTTCCTGGACTCTCTCCCTCATGATGCTCCCTTCACTCTTTC